CCCCACCACAACTTTTTTCCTTGCCCAATTGACAACATAGAGACAAAACCTAAAGCAGTACCAACTATACAATATTTTTTTATCAGTCTTTGTTGAGCGAGAAGTTTTCTCTTGTCATTCCATGGAGAATTTTCCACAAGAAAAACAGCTTTCTTGTGGCTTTTCATGTCCATGTTTGGCAGTCACCTGGAAAAAACTGCCATCATGCTTTCCTCCCACTTTCCTCTCTCTGGAAAGCGATTAAATCTGCAGGTCTCATCTGTGTAGTGAAAGGGTTAAAATCTGGACCAAGCTGTGGCAGGTATTCGTGGTGTCGGATTTCAGCTCGGCAGCTCTGGAAAGCAGTTGAAGACTTTCGGGCGGGAGCTGTCCGTGTGGGCCGTGGGGCGAGGTGTCTGTGTGGGCCGCGGGGCGAGATGTCGGCCCGCCCCAGCCCAGAGCCAGGGGCCACGGCAGAGCCCAGCCCCGCCTGGAGCTGGGAAAAGCCCCTCAGTCTCCATCCCTGCCCGGGAGCTGCTGGAGCCCAGCTCAGCCCCCTCCTCTCAGGCCAGATAGGCTACGGGGGGAAATGGGGGCCAGCCGGAGTTCTGTTACCTCTCCAGGCTGGAAACAAAGAGAACCAGAAGCTCCCAGGCTTAGGTTTAAAAGGTGGTACTCACAAAAGTGATCTTACTTTTCTGTGGTCTAAAATGCTGTCAGTTCTGAAAACTGCTAGCTATTGGCTTGATCTCAAGCAGAGAAGAAACTCCCAGCAGCCTCTCTCAAAGCCTTCACTTCCGTGTTTTCTATTTGTTTTTTAATGCCAAACAATCACACACCTGCACTGAGATTTCCAAAAATGTTAGCATCTTGCATAACTCACTACTAAAAATTAGGCACCACAGATTGCTATGATTCATTATTGTGGAAAAGGATCCTTAGGTTGTCTTCTTTCATATGCTCTGGAGAGCTGAAAAAGTCAGAGCAGTAAACTCAGCTGAGATGAACTCTTATGTATTGCATACTATTTTTCCCCATCCACTCTCTCCCTTTATAATTTTTCTTCAAAACTCCAGTTTTTCACTTTTTCCATCAATACCTTTTCAGAAACCTGTTACAGAAATATATTACAACATGCTGTCCCAGGATCCTACACAATATCCCACCACAGAGAGCAGCCATTAATACAAAATACTGAACAGGCTGTGGAAATGCCCAAGTGACTTGAAGTCTTGAATCTTGCTAAAAGGCAGCTGAGAGTGAACTGCTGGTCCATTTTTCAGTACTCAGTGCTACTAAACAGGACAGTCTTGGTTTAGCAAGGAACCCTAGGGCTTAGTCCTACCTACATGTTCATAGTACATGTCCAAGGCTACATTTCCAAGGCTCCCACAGATACCAGGGATATATGGGGAGCATAAGGGAGGGAGAGAATGTGAGATATCTGCTGAGCATACAAAACAGAAACAAGAGGAAAAGCACTTGCTGAGTTCCAGAAATTAAAATCTGGCCCCACTGAAGTAGGCAGGAGCTTTGCCACCATGGAGACAGAATTTTACCCAACGTGAACAGTATTCTGGGAACACCCTCCCTCCAGACACACTGTGGGAGGTTTGCTGGCTCTGAATAATCACTGGAAACACAAAAAGGTAAATTAAACCCAAACCAAGACAACAATACCAGAATGATTAATCAACAGACAAAAAAGAATGTAAGAACAATGAAGTGAAAAGTGTTGCAGAAGCGGGTGGAAAGAAGGTGGCAAGTCCTTTACCTCCTGGACCACTTAACTTTGTGAGGAACACGGGAGGATGCAAAGGCTTGTGGTGCTGGGTGCAGGAGGCCATGTCAAGGCCACACAGGAGTCTTGGAGACTGCACAGATTCAGTAACAAGGGTGAAAAAACTTGTAGTACAGATTCACCCTTGGAATAGGCTCCCATTAGTAATGCTGTATAAAGAGGCCAGAACCTAGCAACTTCAGCAAAGATTCGTAGGAGCAATCAGTGTTATCACTTACAAATTCCCAGGCAGGCTAGTTCACAGAAAGGGCATGCTCAGCAAGCTCTGCAGTTGTGTAACTGGGCATTCTGGATATGAGAAATACAATAAACAGACACAATGCCTATAAAGTTCAATTTACTCTGACAGCTATGACCCAGTTATTTAGCCTACAGTTGCCCTCTGATTTAGTTAGCATTTGGATTCATACCACAACTATATATACGGTCCTGGATGCTCCCCTTTCACTGCCTTAAGAGTTCAGGTTGCCCACAATGGAAAGTTCAGACTGCCTGAACCCTCCAAATTCACATGAGGCAGCTAGAGAGTCAAATTCCCATAACTGCTGGAAATCAGCCCTGTCACAGTTTCAGAGACAAGGCAAGCAACAAGAACACACCAGGTTCATGCAGCAACAGTTGAATTTTATTGTCCGGTGTCCCCTTTTATAGGGCTTTCAAATTTCCCACTTTTACACACAATTTGATAACATCTTAGCACCACCCAGCTCACCGACCAATGATATGCGTGCATCCCTGATTTAAAGGGATTGGCTGGGATCCCCTTGTTTGAGCTTGAATTCAGCCTATCACTTTCATACCTGGGGACTTGTTTACTTCAGTTCTGTAATGAGCTATGTTGTCTGCCATGGCCAAATTATCTCTGCAGCTATAGACCAACTATAGCTGTGACACAGCCCCTAACTCCCAAACAATGCACCTCTGCTGCAAAAAGGGACTAAGTGGCTTTTCTGGGAACTACTATAAAATGTGTCATGCTGTCATGAGGTGATGACAGCAAGGAAACAAATATTCATGTATTGCATTGCCCTTTAAATGAGAAATCCAGATGAAGATTCATGTCTACACTTCAATGATGAATGAATGTCAGCAGCTAACTAGGCATTAAACCAGATTTCCCTGAGTGACTGTGTGACAACCATAGCACAGGCAGGCATGCATCTGCTTTTGGAAGGTCCCAAGGTGCTTTGAGCTTTCCTCAGGCCTTCCTTCCTCTCAAAACAACTGGAAAGGCCTGCTTCCCCACCCACACCTCTGACAGCGTGAGGTTCACAGCCTTCACAGATGTTCAGCCATCTGCCAGTTTTTTCTCCCTGCTCTCTTCTCTTGCTCTCTCTCATATAACCAGGAAAAAATGCTTTTCCCAGTCCTTCCCTGGGCATGGCCGTTCTCTCTTCAGGTGATGAGGATCTCCTGATGCTCAGTCTAGTTTGCTGTCTGTGTGCTTGGTCTTGTTGCAAGATCCTTGTCCATGGGCTTTGGTGTCAGCCCTCAGGATTGTCCCATCTTCAGGTCTATCGTCCAATATTATCAAAGGTAAGGGGAAAAATGGAGGGTAAGGAGGAAAACAAAGGGCACCAAGGCAAAATCAAGCATCTTTATAGGCCTTGCAGTATTCTGCTGGCTCTGAGCAAGCTTTTCACTCAGTTATTTAACTTAGCTGGCAACTTGGAAAATGAATTAAAAATGCATTTGTTCCTTCTGCAAACTCTTGAAACAAATCTGGAGGGAAGAGAGTGCCTGGAGAGTTACTGAGCTCTTGTGCTCCCTGGCAGCCTCAACACCATTGTTACCCATGGTGAGAAACCAGAGGAGCTGCTTCTCAGCCTGACAAGATCCTGGGATGAAAAGCACAGACTGCCCCTTGTGCTGGACTTTGCACCAGACTGCTGGCTTTTCCCAGCATGTGTCATGCAGCTTTCTGCGTAAGGGGCACCCCACAGCCCTCCTTCCCAGTCTTAAGAGTGTGAATGTTGCAGAGAACTGCGGAGTGAGGACCATTATCCATGAGAGGATCTACTTGCTTCTGGAGTGATAAAGGACACAGCAGAGACCAGCATTTAGCCAAGTCTTTACTACACTGTGGTGCCATCTTTTGATTTTTAAAATCAGCCTTAGATGCATTTAAAAACAATTATTGGGAGGAACAAAATCCCATAGTGTTCTGAACAGCTCTTGCCAGCACTCAAGGAGACTTGATAAAACTGAATGTCCCCAGCTGGCAGGCTGGCCATGGAAGATGGCTGGGATTATAACCTTGCTGCTCACCCCTTGTGGGATCCAGAATTTAGACCATGAAAGGACCAAACCTGAAACCTCAAATCCACAAAACAGAATGTAAAAAATCCATTTCTGGGTCACCTGTATCTAAGGTCACAAGTCCTGTGTTTCTAGAAGTTATTTTCATTTCCATGACACTGGCTACAACATGAGAGAAAATGTGATTATCAAGTCTCTCCAGAGTAAGAGTAATATAAAATCATTTCATCTTAGTGCCATCATGTCTCTCCTACCTTTTACACATAATATTATTACTTGTCTTCTCTTTCATGCCCAGGCCCATAGCAGTACCTAGAAACCACTGAAAATGTGTATTTTATCCAAAGCCTACACAAACTCTATACACTCTATACACTGTATTTTATCACATTCTTCTACCTCCCTTCAAGTTTATCTGATGATTTTTTTTAATAGTCTTGTCAATAAACCAACTGGTATCAAACAGATAGGTATTTTCTACTAATCTGCTATTTTACCTAAAAAGGGGAATTTTAGACTTGCACAGTCCTCACTCAAAACAGCTGACAACATTCCTTTTAAACTGTCAGAAGCAGATTTTCAACAGAGAGCATAATTTTTAGGAACAGAAGGACATGCAGACATTTTGAGCATTATTTTTTCAAATGGTACTGCTTACACACCTTACACAAGTGAAAACTAAAGACACTAAAAATACGTAAAATTCTCTTTTGTTTTTGTACAAATCATTAGTGTTGTTTAACTGCACTCAGGCTTTTAAGTACAGGACCTCTGACCATCAGTCCAGTACAGCAGAACACATGATAATTAAATTTACTTACACTGTAGATTCCTGCTGGGCATAAAGTAAGGCCACTGCTCCAGTGATAAGCCCTCAAAGGCCACTTACTAGAGATGGGTTTGTGGCTGGGATTTCTAGACATTTATTTCAGTGCAAATCTTGCCAGAAATTGGAACTTACTGCTTGTTGTGAAGTTACCCTCAACAGCCTGGGGAAAGAAGTCTGCGTCTTGAATGACTTGTAGCACTCCCATGGTCCGGGCTGGAGGGTCCAGAGCCACTGAACTCTCATTCACAGTTATGTCACTGGCTCCTGTGATCTGGTTGGTTGGTGGTCCTCCTATGGATGCTTCCAAGTCTGGAGGTAAATCATCCATGCAATCTGCATTTGGCTAATAGGAAGAAAAAGGACAAAATTGAGCTCCTACCTGATAAAAAGTCCCAATTTGCTTCTTACCTCTTCTTCAGATTTTTTTTTTCTTTATTTCAGCATTGAAAATGACAAAGTATAATGAATAAACACACAGAGTTTGTCATCATGTACTTAAAACTTGATACAATCTGTTGGAAGAGAGACCCAAAATATGCAATGGAAATATTGAGTATTAGACTGTGTCACCTGAAATTGCTAAACATTCTTATACTTTTGAAAGAGTTTGGGAATGTGCACGTTAAAAAAGTAACTCACTTATTAGTATGATCTGCTCAACATAGGCAGATTGCTGAATCAGATCACAAATGTAAACAGAGATAGGAGCTGAAGGAGAATGATTATCTTTTCCTGAAATATACATTTTACAGAGCCAGTATCTGAGCTTAAAGGAATATGAATTCAATAAGAACTGCCTGTGGGTGCAACCATGTGTGAGATGCGAAACTAGAAGCTAAAGCTGTTTATATGAAAAATTTCTAAGCATCAAAAGATCTTTTCCTTTACTAATACTATATTTCCTACAAAATGCAATTATAAAAAAAAGAAACAGACAATAATGGGAAACTGAAGAGCATTATTTGATTCACAGTCTTTCTTGCTATGTGAAGCAAGACCAGTGACACAGAGACATAGCAAGACTGCCCTGCAATATGTGGACACCTTTTTTTAGGAAATGTTAATTTGTTTCCATTTATCTTTATTCTCCAGGAGCCAGACAGATAGTCTGGATCAGTCACTTAGGTTTCCTTTAACTTCAGGGGTTCGAGACATTTTTGCTGTGATTCATCCCCTAGCCCTAGAAATGAATTGCTCCCTCTGCCTTCTCTCTTCTCAGCACTAAGCAGAGACAGGGCTTAAGCTGCAAGACTGGAAACCCAACATTCAGATGGCCAGTGTCGGAGGAGGTGTACTCTGTTTGGTGGATCTGATTTTTTTCCTATGCTTACTTGTCTCACATGTCAAGGCACTTTGGAAAATCTCACCACCTGCCTATCTCAAACAGCTGGCATGAAGAAACTAAGCAAAATATGATACAGCAAGGGCTTAAAGAGAAATTTAATTTTAAGCACAAGAGAAATCCCCTTGAATTCAAGCACAGAAGGTTACCATATGTTTAATTTTTTTTTCAGAATCAGGAACTTAGCATGTTTTCTTTTTTTCCACACATTCCCTGCCTGATTGTTGTCACCTCTTAAGTATTTTTTTCACAAGTGTTCCTAATGAAAAAGATGGGCAGTTTAACCAGTCTTGTAGCCACAAACTGAAGTCTGGAATGAAAACTAGAATTGTTGTTGTCTGCCTCCAGTCTAATCCACAAGCAGCAAGAATGACTTAGATTTGGGATAAAAAAGGCACATTCATCTATACCAGGTGTTAATGAAACTCATTGAATCTGTACTTTTCCAAGAGAAGTACCAATCACTTATATGTAGGACAGGGATCCAAAATGATCCCTTAGATCTGTCACTCTTTCCTTCTCTCTTAGCTATTATAAAACAATGTTTTCAGAGTTTTATTTTTAATTTAATTTACCTTTGATGGAAGTGCATATTAAAAACAAGAGGCCTATTTTCCCTTTATCCTATAGGAAAAGTTATTTAAATTGTTTGGGGAATCAGTTGTCTGTCCTTTGCTCTGATTCCAGTTATTCCTTGAGTGGGGTTTTATCACAAATTTTTAAACCTTTTAAAGAGGGGTATTATAATTGAAAGCCAAACCAAACATTAAAGATGCAAAAATAATGTTGCTTGATATTAATCCCTTTACTTCTGAATAATTTTAATTGAAAAAAATGCCCAAAACTATGCAGCATGCTATAAAACTAATTATATGAAATACTGATCAGAAAAAAAAAAACCCAAACCATTATAGCTTTGGCTGCCAGAGTGACCCAGATACAGTTGCTAAGTTTAATTGTATTGGTTTCACTTGTGCCCTGCCTGTAAGTGCTCTGAGAACACAACTCCACTGAAGTCAGGGGAAAACTTTGTATTGACTTCTGGGGGCTTGGCTAAGGCTCTTAGTGAATAGCTTCAAGTCATATAATCTGCTGCCAAAAATGCAGCTGACTGCATATCCAGCACACGTTTTACACAAAAGGGGGAGAAGCAGAGGGAAACTATTTTACATGATATGATTGTCCCAATAGAAATGTAGCTCTTTGAAAGTGAAAGACACATTGGTAATCCATTTCAAATATTGCAGGTAGTATGAGCTGGTTTTGCCAGCAAAGAGTTGAAAATCCATCAGGAGTTTTGGTACCTCATGGCTGTCTGGGGAATCTGAGCTTAGGGTAGATAATATTTTAAGTCTCTATTACAAAGTAAACGCGGAGTTCAGTTGTGAATTGAATCAAAACATTTAGGTAATTGGGGTTTAACCAATCCTTTCCACAGACATGCAAGCCAGGTCTTAAGTAATAACCATAGGACAAAACTGCAACTGGCAGGAAAAACCCCCACAGCCTGTCTATGGTAAAACTTCATCATTCTTCCCATTGTAAAAGCCTGCAAAAGGGCTTTGGCAAATTTGCACCCAAGTCTCCCATCAGAGGCTGATGCCTGCCTAAGGGGTTTTTTTGTGTTTGTGGAAATTTCAGCTAAGAGGGCTCAGCAAGACTCAAGAATGTGGTTAGGGAATGACATTTTGAAATGTTTGCTACCTCTCACTGAGAGGCCCTAGAACTTCACAGGTTCTTTGAGGGCAACATCTTTTCCCACAGCAGCCTATGGACATCCGGCTAAGTGATGAGTCTCTAAAAACACCAGTTTATGTGTGCTGGTGTCTTTTTTGGCTCATGGGAGCACCAGAAAGCACATCTTAAGAATGATGTCCACCCTGGGCTGCCCTCAGCTGGTGTTAGGCAGTTAGAATGGGGAGGACAACATGATTTCTGTGCAGGTGGAAAACAGGTCCTGTGAGCTGAGCAGGAGCTCAAAGGGACACAGGTCAGGCAGGAGGGGTTACGCAGAGGAGAAGCAGGAGAGAGCATAAGATAGGAAAGGAATAAGCAGGAGTTGAGGTGTATTTTACAAAGAGAAGATAGAAAAAGGAGAGGAATAGGAGCAACTCATAGCAGTATAGGAATTTTTAACCCTCAAGCCACTAGACACTCTTATATCTTCACTTCCTTTGCTGTCAGCCAGAGGAAACCTGACACAAGGGCTACCATCTACTCCAATTTCCCATGGACAACAGCCCCTACTATAAGTCACTTTGAGGGATAAGGCTCTCCCTTCATGAACATGTGCAATAATACAAGTATGCCAATATGCTTCCTCCAAGAGATGAAGTGGGCTGTTTTCAGCTTGTTGTCTTGAAACAACCTACAGGAAATTTTTACAGAAATTCATACAATAAAATCTCCTAAAAAAACTTTGCTAGTGGAACATTAACATCCCAGTGCTTTATTTTTAGTGATAAGACAGACCAACGCCAAAGCTGATTTGGAAATCTTAATTTGAACCAGTTATTCATGTAGGTTACACCAGCATCTTCAATTCCATGCCCAGTACAATAATTTCCACAGAAGCTCCATGCAGAAAGCTCTCAGTGAGGAGAGCAGGATGGATCCTCGCTCTGCTGTGCTGTACAGAGAGGAAAGGGAGCTATGAGAAGGGAAACAATGGTTGAGGAAATGGAATGGTGTTTCAATTATTCCTGGCAATTAGGTACCTCTACACCTGCCACTATGGAGCTGTTCATAGACAGTGAAATCCAGCCATGCAAACTAAAACTTTTATACATGGCCTCTGGGTATGTTTTTTGTTCCACTAGCTGTGCCCAGCCTCAAACAGCCTGTGGACATGCTTAGCCTTCAACAGCAGCCAGTGAAGCCAGTGAGAGCCATGTTCTGGATTTAAATTCTAACAGCACTAGGCTTCTTGGAAGCCTTTAAGGTCTCACTGCAAGCCTCCAGAAAGCATTGATCTGGTTTGCCTATATCCTCTGATTATGAAGCTGGACAAAGAGCGCATTAATGAAGTGCTTGGACAAAAATGTGAATGGGCCAGTGTGAGAGTAGAAGTGGTATGGTGCTGTCAGATGCACTGGGAGGCCATGGAACAATACATTGGGTAGGGAGAAGAGGTGTAACCCTGTGTAACTGCTCATGGCAGGCCTGTGAGCTGAGATGAAACCTGGGAAAATATTTCTGTATTTAAGCCTAGGTGCAGAGATGCTGAATGGCAGAGCTAGCCTTCATTCTGGCTTTTCATCTCAAGCACTGATTAACACTTGCATCACCTCTCAATATACTAAAGACAATATACATGTCTAGTAGAAAAAGTAGCAAAACTGTTTTGATGCATTACCCTAGCTACAATGCCCTGCTTCTTTTTCCACCTTGCATGTTTTCAGTTTGGATTATATTAGGTTTATTAACATATCTACCTGCAACCTACTTCCTAGTCTCCATAAAACTGAGTTCTCTGAGAATGGCTGTACCAGCTCCACAGTATGTTCATGTGAGCTGTTTTACTTTATATAGTTCTTTCAAATGTGAGCTGGTGCATCACTGACTGAAACTCAGGGGGCTATTTACAGCACCTCTTAATGCATCAGCTGGAGGTGTTTTAGTATTGAACTTCACAAGCCTTGCACAGTGGGGGAGAGTGACTCACTCCCTCCTGGTGAAGCCTCTGAGCTCTGTGATAGCTCCAGTTGGGAAACTGTATGACAGACACGACATACACTATCTGAATGTAAACATGCAACTTAGAAAGATTTTAAATGTGGTTAGAAACTGCCAGTTACTTTGGCAGTTTTTAACTACATTTGAATGTTCCAGATAACAAACAGCTTAACAATTTCTTGTATGTCATGTGCTCTACCACATGCTTAGTAACTGAGAGAAATGGGCCTTAATTAGAATTAGGAGTACAGATCTTGCTTCAGATAGACTTTAAGAGAAATCTGACAGAAAAAGGACTTGTTTCCGCAGAAGCAATTAGTTGTCCTTAACGAGTATAGCAGAGAAAATTTTATTTGCAGACTTTCTGCTTTCAGATTTGAACTGAGGGCATGATTAAAAAAATAAATCTGGTCCTGAAAGCTATGTGAAAGATTCTATAAATCCACCAAAACACCAGTGAACACTATCTTCTGCTCCACCAAGCAGGCAGCCACAAACACCCACAAACACACAAATCCCAACATCCAACCTACCCTCATGTACATGCTCTTCCTTGCTAATACGAGTGAGGTGCAGGACAGAGGTAGAGTCAGACATTTCCAATTGTACTTCCCTTAATAAATCAATTAATTATTCAATAATGTGGCAAAAATAGTAAGACAGGAACAAACAGGCAAAGGCTAGCGATATACTCATGTGGCTGGTATTTCTCTTCTGCCCTGACGGGCTGGTCTGCAAAGTGCTTACCGGTATCCCTAGAGCTTTTAGAATATTCATTTTACACATCGGGCAGGTACGATGGTCTAGCAGCCAGGGGTCTACACAGGACTTGTGGAAAAGATGCCTGCAATGAAAACCAGGATATCTTAATTCAAATGCACAGCACAATTTATCACTTAGTACCAGATTATTCTGAATTCCTTTAAGTGAGTGTATTTCAACTGGTGCAGTTTTTGACCTCTGCAAGGACTGCAGAACTAAGACCTATGCACACAAGGCTAAAATGATTCCTGCAGTAACTCAAACATGTGGACATTTCAATGTATTTGAAATAGAAGACTACATATTTAGAGACCTAGGGAAAATATGCAAAAAACATTAGAAAACCCCGTATTCTTTAAATGTTAAAAGCTGTCAGTAAACAAAAGATGCTTGCTGGTAAAGGTAAAAATCATGTTAGTTTTTCTTAATAGCTCTACAGACAAACCTGGTTATACATAATTTAAATGTGAAGCCATTGAGGGTCTAGTATTTTTCAGGATAGAGGCATAAAAACTGAATTAGGAAAAAAAAAAGAAAAAGATACTTTTCATTTAAACAGAAAAAAACCCAGTACAATGCTTTTAAAAATATTCTCTCTGACTTCCCTGGTCTTTAGAAGCTGACCATCAGAGAGAGCTCCTACACAATTCCCTGAAGGAATTGTTGCTAATCCTGTTCTGATTCTGAAGCAATCACTAAGCAACTACCTGAGCCCTGTAGATGCTGGGCTTTTCCACTTTTCCTAGACATTAATCAGGTGGAGGAACTGAAAGTTTCTTATTTAGCTTTGTCTTTAAAAAACTGATAATGACTATGGAGATCTTGAGTGTGTCTACCTGACTGGCAGATATGAGAGCTTATTCTGTTACTAGGAATACTAGGAAACATTTCTTCACCCAAAGGGTGGTCAGGCGTTGGAACAGCTGCCCAGGGAAGTGATATCTGGAGGTATTTAAGACGTGTGGATGTGGCACTTGGGGACATGCTTTAGTGGTGGGTTTGGCAGTGCTGTATCTATTGTTAGACTTGAATCACCCAAACACCTGTATAATCCCTGCATGAAGCACGGCACATACCAGTCTCTACAAGGAAATGCAATCTCTGAGAAAGCCAGTCACCTAATGTACCAAAGTAACTCCAAATATTTAACGGCCACTTATGCAGCTGAATGGGTCAGCAGATATATAGTGTCACTACACAGCAAAATACTGCATTCCTGCGCTTTGTATCACTTCATACAACTATGGGAAAGGGCAAACATATTCTTGGAAGCTTGATCTAGTCTAATTATATCAGTTGGCTGGGGTATCAAACCTCATTTTATCCTGTATGTCAACATGATTAATCAAATGAAGCACTGTGATATTTGAAGTTTAAGCCACCACTTTATTAAAGTTCACAGCTGTCCTTCCAAACAAGACCTGACCTAATGGATAACAACAAATGAACGAGATTTTGATCTCTGTCCTGCTCAACATTTCCTTCCTTCAGTCTTAGGAGGGGCATATTCAGAATATCATTAGACAAGCATTCTGAATAGGTGAAAGCATAAAGATACAGTTCTTAGGCATCTGTAATTTTACATTTAAAAGTTTAACGAACATATTTTCTTGAGTTTGTTAATTCAGAGGGTACTGGAAGTTTATGTCTTGCCTTTCAGCTACATGAAATAATGATGAAATTATTTTAGTGATTGGTTTTCTTTAATTATATAATCAAATGCGTAAGTATGTTTATTGGCAAACATCTGAAGCACATTTGTGCCAAAATCATCGGTCCATTTACAAAACCTGAGATATTTATTAATCTCTCAGAAAACAAAACAAAACAGGTTTCCAAAATCTCTTTTGAATAAAAAATACGTAGTTTCCACCAAGACATTTTACCATAGACCAGAAAATTGCCTTTCATTTTCAATTTTCAGCTTTGAAAGCCTCAGTCAAACTGGGGTTCATATTAGAGAATTTCATGGTATTTGTTCATCATCAAAAGCTTGGATCACTTTCATGCCTTAAAGACTTTAAAATCTGAAGTTCAGTGTTCCTAAAGTTGGCTTCAAAAACAATATTCTAAAATAAATCCTAACAATGCCAAGTAATTTAAATACATGACAGATCTTGTCACTTTACACTTCTCAATACTAATTTAGCACAGGGTATTATGACTCCATTAATTTCAGATTTAATATGTACTACAGGAGGAACTTGATTATTTGACAGAAATCCACTGAATAATGGAATGCTACTGAAAAACAGACAAAGATTTACCTTTTAAAATTTTTGTACTGCATTATACAACTGGAGTTCTTATAATATGGTTTTAACGTGTAAACATTTGTGCAGAAAAGCAAGGTGGCAGGCTTTGCAGATTTGGATTTGAAAGTTTATTAGGTACAGCACTATGTACATGCTTATGGCATTCAACAAATTGTCAATTGTTTTATGTTCCAAATTCAAGCAAAAAAAAGTCAGCATAAAGCAAGATGAGAGCAACTGCAATATTTCACTGTCACATGGCAAAGATGTAAAAATATCAACTGCAAGAAAAACTCCTTTTGCAGTTCTGACTGATGCAAGTTTTAAATGGAAGGAAAGGATAGAGCCATCATGGATGATTTCAGAATTAATGACCCATACAGGGAGACAATAAGAGATGTTTCAAGCTCAGGCTCAGGACATGGCTTTGACAATCAAAGTCAAAGCTAGATAAAAACACAGGTTTTTTTCCTTGTTGTGTGCAACCACATTCATTGCAAAAACTAGGTTGATTTGGAAGGGTTGAAAAATTTCCAAAAGAACTGCAACTGATTAGTTGACAGAGAGGAAGGCGAGATGTTGCCACAGCCTCATATGAAAAGGTTTTCATAAGGGAAAGGAAACAACCGTTCTCCACCTCTCCCAGGAATAAGAAGCACAATGATGTTGTTTAAACAGCAGCGAGATCCAGGTTACACAATAAGAAAGGCTTTGCAACAGTCAAGGTAATGAAGCACTGCAATAAATTGTCAGGGGAATTTGCAGTCTTCATCCCAGGAGATTGCACTGTGTTGGAAAAAGCTGCCAACAACAACACATGCGTGCCAGTGCCCCTGTGCTGTCCACCACCCTGACGGTGGTGGCCTCCTGGGATCCCTCCTGTACTCTCCTGTGGCTGCACATGGCTGTGCAAAGCTCACAGAGCACAAAGCAAAAGAACCTCAAAGTCCCAGAGCATTCCATTTACTATTATATAAATAGCACTTCACATTTTTAAACTAAACATTGCTTTTGTTTGAAATGTATTTGTTTTCCTTAAAGATGCAATTTCAGCCAAGATAATACAAGAAAAAAAAAAATCATGTTGCACTCAGCCTAAAAGTATAATAATAATAACAACAATAACAATAATTATTATAGTACAACTATTGTAAAGCATTCAGCTTGCCAACAATTTTGAGAGGCTTTTTTTCCAGATTAAGGAAAATGGTTCTCCTCCCACCTTCCACTCTTAGTCTCACCTATACAGTTAAGAGAGGTACATCCCTGATAACCCTAAATAAGAGCATCAGTTGCCTGGATTAGAGATAGATCTGAAGTAAGTGATTTAGAATTTTTGTGAGAGACTTAGTAGCACTGTAGTATCCAATAAGAAGGTTTGAGATTTTGGGGGTTGCATGTACAGTATTATTTACTTCTGAGGAGGACAAAATAAGATGATGATGAGGATGAGAGGAAGGAATCAAAGGGAGATATGTGTGTGATGCAATAATTTTTACAGGAAGCTAATAAAACGAGAAAGTAGGAGTGAAAACTCTGAAATCACAGTTGTTCATGGAGTGAAGGTTCAGGGGAAAAGAATGAGCTGGAATGAAGTCAGAGAATGTGTTTATTGGTGAAAAAAAAAATGAAACAGCAAAAAAAAGAGCTTATGAGGCACCCAGCAGAGATAAGGTTGAAAGAAATGTCTTGCCTCTCTATAGAAGTTTAGTAAAGTTAGTAAAAGCTTAGTAAAATGCACACATTGGGAGCAGCAGGACCAGTAACTTCTCCAAAGCAATAGCAGAAAAGACAACAGTGTTTTAAAGCTGGAGATTGAGGACAAGCAGAGTGAAATAGGGCTGTGACAAGAGATGCCACTCTGGGAACAATGCACTTGGTTACATTTGATCTTGTCTTAGTGCCCTTAAAGACAACTTCAGAGATGTTTGCTTCCATTAAACATAAAACCAGCTGCAAGTCAACGCTTTTTATTTTTACCAAGTGTCATTCCTTATTTATTTAATAAACTCTGTAGAGTGAAGTTTATTACTACAGTCAGTTGTGGGAGCTGCCTGATGAAGACAGAGAGTAAGAAGCACAAGTTCACTTGGAATTTCTCTTGAGCTTTCCAGAGTAGTACTTTCCAGAGTAGTACTTTCCAGAGTACATAAAAACAGCTATCCCAGTGCCAACAGAAAAGAGAGGACATTTGGGAAAACAGCCCAAGTCCTAGTAAACATGTATCTATTTGACTTCAGAGCTCATCCACTGCTATACTGGAGGTTCACATGTTAGAAACACAGTTTAACCGAGGATGCCAAAGCAAGAAAACTACAGTCTCTAGGTCTTTAGCAAGATATAACACTCTCCTATTCACTTCACAGAAACAGAAATTAATCCACTTTCTTTTTTGTTTTGGATGAGGAGATGAGATTGAGAACAGCAGAAAGAATCATGAATACCATTTCATGTTTCAGAAGTTCAAACACCTGCAAGTATGTAAAACACTGCCCTCACAGTTTGTATAGTGGGAAAGCCAGGGTTGGTGAAATAGCTGCTTGAGAAAGATCTTTGAGTTTTTATAATTCCAAACTGCTAAGGATCTGAACTAAGGATCAAACTGTGGGTATTTTACAAGACAGTTCTGCTACTGCTACCCTTTTAGCATGAATTATTTTCTGGGTGACCTTCTAAGTCATCCAAGAACTAAATACCACCTGTTAACTCTGTGTTTTCTATTCACTCTGCTTGATACAACACCGTAGATGACAAAGGCTCATTGAATTATGAGGTGGGACACAAGTGAAAGCTAAAGCTTAGACATATATTTAAGCTGTTGTATATCTACCTCTAAAAACTACCTGCCTGTATCATGCAAAATTTCCAAGCTTTATTCTACTTCCATGCAAACAGGTTTGATGCCAAACTAAGGTCCACACTTTCTGTGAATTTCTCATTTTTCTGTATTTCTGCTTCATGAAGTGATGTTTTCATGTCTGCTTGTAGAAAAAAAAAAGCCACATGCAATTTGTCATTGTGGGGGATTTACAGTAGGTCAAATTTATGATTAATCTGTTAGCCATTTAGTGATGGAAGTAAACAGATTTAATGAATCACATGAACTAACAGAAATGGACAGATTGTATCATTCAAATATCTACTAGGGTACAACATAACAGAAAAATAAACAAGTATTTTGGTTTCTCAAGCCAGTGAACATGATTCAGGAGAAGAAAGATGTATTATTGAAAAAAATAAAATCTCTATATGTACAGCCTTCAGATCTGTATTTCTAGGGAAATCAAATACTTGCTGTTGCTCTCCTAGGGGTAACTGATCCTAGGAAATTTCCTAAGAAATTAATTTCCTTAGAGAAATTCTCCATTAGGTAACACTTCAGAGATGACAATACAATAGCACAAAGATGAACACAGTTGTTAGGGGTGGGAAGAGGCTGCACTCCTATGTCACATCACTGTGGGTGGATGTCCTGCACAGGGTATCTTCACATGGGGATTTTTTTTGACAAAAGTCATCCTTTTCTCAGGCCTAGGACAACAAAAGAAGTAGCTCAAGGGAGAGCAGGAGCCTGTTCTATCCCTGGCTGCTGTGGCCAGGGCTCACCTTCAAGTCAGAGGCAAATTCTCCTAAGGCATTTATTCTAATTAAAAACAGTGAGGAAAACAGATGAATCAAAACTTTAGTTTAAAAATCCTACTGAAGACTTTGTTATAGGCTCAGGTCAGACTAAATTTCTGACTACCATACTAGACTCTCAGGGTCTCACCACCATCAACACTAGTTTCACTTCAAGTTGAATAAAGAGGCATTTCAGATATCTTTACTAACAGATTATGAATAGGCCAAAATAATAAACTCATCCTTCCCTCCCCAGGTTCTCAGGTAATCTCATCAGTGTGCAACTGAGAACAGAGACTGTCTTGAAGTAGAGACTATTAGAGCTAAAAGCACCTTCAATTTACCTGCAAGGCAATATCCTGACAACATCATTGGGCTTGTAGCCTTCGATACAAACAGCACAGTTATCAAAGTCTGGCTCAGTCTCCTACAGGAAAGAGAATATTCATCATATTCATTTTTTATTTTGTTAGCTAATCTCTTCATATAAGAGCCTATGTGACAAAGTAAAACAGTCACTGAAGCAGATTGGAAATCCAGTAACACATTTCAAAACTAGCAAGTCGGATTTTCTTACATTTCCAGCCGGAAACTTGCACTGGGAAGCATGCAGATTTAGCATGTAATGCTTTCAGAATTTTCTGCATCTTTAACCAAATCACCCTCTCTCCCCACTTGATTCCATCCGTAACTTGCTTACCAGCACTCCTCCCCCATCTGAAGAAGAAACACAGTAGTTAAATAAACAATTGTCATTTCTTTTCTGCCTCATCGTCCCAGAGGTCTGAAGGAATCCTTAGCACAGAGTTTCATTTAGTAACGAGCATTTTGAAAAATTACCTTATCACCTTTCCTGATCGTCCTGACTTGCAGCTTGCTGATTGCTTTCTTCGCAGCATCTCCAAGCCGGCGCTGCAATACAAAATTTGCTCTTAAGCAAAGAGCATCTCTTCATGCAGAAATCAAAACTTTTTCTCTCTAAGCTTCTTAATAATTTTAAGTACATGGAACAGGATAGTGTACAAATATAAACATAATAGTTCACAATAAGGGCACAGTAGGTGTGGTATACTGCAGCAGTGCATACCGATGTAGGTAACAAGTACATTATTTGAATATCCTACTTCTTCCCTCTCTTTTTTTAATGACACTTTAAAAAAAAAAAACTGGGCAGTTAGCAGAGTGAATGATGAACTTTATTCTTACATTGTTCCATAACTAGTTCATGATCTTCAGTAGGATGCAACCTCTGAAAGTTAATTGACCTGTTAATTTTAATCACAAAAACTCTGAATAATCTCTCCTGTCTTTTTTCCTGAAATACAGAGCTGCCTACCTTATCAAAATGAGGTGGAACCATCTGCATTTTCTTACAGGTAAAGCACTATCTAGTCTTGTAGTAACATCCTGTTCATACATAACCATTTGCTCATTCTTTGCCTTTCTATCATTCCCTCCAGTGGACCATAAAGTGATTACCATGTGACGTTTCTGACTGTCTGACTGTTCTCCCATATTTCCAAAACACTGTTATCATGCTGGCAAGGTCACAGCCACCAGGATTAAAGTATGTAATAACAGCCTGAAACAAAACACCCTGTCCTCAGACACTGAACATGGACATGTCCACTCCTTGCAAGAGGATGGGAACTGTGGGGCAGTTCACACAATCACTGCTCAGCACCCTGTGCCACGGAGCTTGTTCCTGTATCAGTGCTCCAAGGACTTGGCTGCTCACTTGTGCTAATCCAGCAACAAGACAGTCTGGAGAAAGACTCACAGGCTGGAAGCCTTTGGGAGGTCATGTACTCCCACCCCCTGCTCAAGGCTGGGTCAACTTCAAAGTCAGAGCTGTGTTAGTCAAGTTTTAAGTATCTCCAGGAAATGAGATTTCACAACCTCTGTGGAAAATCTGTACTAGTGCTTAACCAATCTCAGTCTTTTTTCTTCTCTAAACATATTAATGGAATTTCCCTTGCTGGTAATTTGTGACCACTACCCTGTGCACTTCCAGGAAGAGGCTGATTCTGACTCCTCTCTGACCAGCCTTTTTGTAGCTGGAAGTAGAGCCCTTCCTCCACCTCTGCTCCCCACTCAGAGGAGTGGTATGCTCCCTTCACCCCTCCTCAGATGCCATGTGCTTTTGCTTCCAGGTCATTCTGGTGACCCTCCTTTGTGCACTTGCCATTTGTTCTATGTCTCACACATGGTTTCATGCAGAAATGTCCACTCCAATGTCTTCTTTATAACAGTTTATGATATAGCATGTTCCAATTTCCCACTAATAAATGAGTTGAACTTTTCCTTTCACCTCCTCTCCCCAGTCACATTTCCAGCCATGTGTTGTTAGAGAGAACTTAGGGCCTTTGGTGACTCAGAAGACATTCAACTTTCTGAGCTAGGAAACTCCTGTGCCAGAGTTCAGAGGGGCCTGTCAGCAGGAAGGTTTCCAGCTGGAGGGGGTGAGAGCATGAGACCAAAAATGGATGGAAGCTTGAGGTAGTTTATAAACTGACCTAATCACCACAGAGATATGACCAGTAAATTACCACTTTGGTCAATTAAAATCACTGGATTAAATTTAGAGAGCAAGCTTATTGGATTGGAAAGGCTGACAAAATACCTGCAATGTTGAAAGCAGAGTGCAATTTCACATCTGGCTAAAGAGGTCAAAATAATCTTGGCTATCAGGAGATTTACATACGAGCTTTCCAGCAACTTAATTATTTAATGTGAAGGATTATCTTGTAGCTATAAAACATCTCTTTCTGTGGTCCATTTTTCTCACAGTCTCCCTCAAATAAAAGAATCAAATGAGAGTTGGAAACCTTTCTTGTTAGGTATTTGGTTCTTTAATGTAAATCAAAGACAGACTGATAGCATACGGCAAGACAAGAGCCATTATGCCATGCTTCAGAAAGTGCTTGTGATCCTTTTTTATCATTAGTATTACTTTAATGAATGAAATGTCTTAGTTCTATTTTGCACATTCTTGAAGGGAAAAGGACAAGATTAAAAACTCATGTACATCGTTGATCTGCTTGCTTTCATGTTTTCTTTCTCTTATCTATCATAAACAGATAAGTTCATAACATACATGTAAATGAGAGTAATTTAGTTCTTGAAAAGTCATACTTTCAAAGGATTCTCCCACTTGAATGCAAGGCATACTATCAATAACCAATGATTTTTCCTAAAAGATAAGAGGCATGAGAACAGTTTAAGGGTTTAAAGTGAGGCTTAGAGGTTTACAGCCATAAATCTCATAATCTCATTAGCAAGGCTACAACATTCAGTACTGGACTGGAAGGAGTTAAGCTTATCAGATGCAGAGGTCTAGAGGATGCACATTAAAAAGGAAGGACAGATCCATGGAAAGCAACACTTCCGTGTTCCTGAGAAAGTAAATGAGTGTAAATGCTGTGGAAGAGAAGTTACAGTAAGTGCTTCTCTCTTAACGGCCTTACTAAACGACCACCTTTGCAAGGAGATCACATTTTGCATTGTTCAGAATGAGACACATCACCAACATGAGGTATCAGACACATCTATCCACAGACAAAGTTTGCAGACTCCACCATGGGAAGCATCTTCCCAAATTGCTTCAAAGATTGACATCCCTATTCAGTGGACCAAAACACTCATTCCAAGCCACAGCCACCAGTCTTCCTTCTCAGATAAATGTTCCACATGCTGACAGTCACATACTAAAGATTAACTCAGGACACACAAGATCCTCCTCAACTCCAGTGCAATCTCTGCTTGCTTTGGCTTTCACTATTCTGCAAAACTTAAGGAGACCAACCAGTTTCAAAATGACTTTGTAGAAAATTTCCTCTGAACAAGAAGCCAATGGAAAGAAGGTACATGGAAGAAATGTAAGTCTGGCACTGGAACATTATTCCCTCTTCATTTTCCCAAGTCATAAAGAATAAAAAGAGAACTCTATTATTACTGGTGAAATAGGAAATCTGACACACTGACAGGGTTGGTTTGTTGTTGCTGTTGTTTTTAAGTCTGTTGTTAAGTCTGGCTGTTACAGGACTGTAACATCAGGTCATACTTTGCTGAAATATCTCTGGAACTTGTCATGTAATTCAAAACTGCATCTAATTAGCTCTGCAATATCATGTTTCTTGATTTAAACATTTTCCACAGCCTTTTACAAACTCTCTCAACTCTCTCATCTTCAGGAGACCTCCAGGAACAAGCTGCTGAGGAAACAGATTTTCTTATACAAATTTATCCTCTTCATGTCAAAAGGATTCATTATCAGGGCAATCAGGTGACTTCCTGGACATCTTGTTAGGTGGGAAAAAAGGGGTTCAATCATGTGAATATTACTAACTATCTTCTACTTCCATATGTAAAGTACAGTTGTCTGTCTATCTAATTTTAAGAGGTACTCTTAAAAATTAAATGTATTAAAATAAAAATTGATACCTCAGTATGTTTGTAGCTGACACTCTGGCTATAGGTGCACAAGCCCATAGTAGAAGACAATTCTGTGCCCTACTACATTAATTCCCAGACAAGTTGGGATGAATAGGCCCTGGCATTCCGGAAGAATCTTTGAAATCCTGGTTCTCCACTCATCAAAATCAGGCACCTAATTAGAGTAAGCTGTGTCTTCCTTCTGGCATGTGAACTTAGATTTTGCATACATGATGAGGAAGAGTGGTGGCTGAAGATGTAGATGGATTATGTCCAGGTTTCATTTCACTGTGCAGTCACATGAAATTATTCCAGAAGAGTTTTCAGTCTTTCTAGCTCCCTCTCTCAATAGCTGGATTCATTGCTTTCTTGATGGATAACTAATCAGTTCGTTTTGGATTTCCTGCTTGCTCAGAAACTTACACCCAGAAAGAATGGAAGCAGACCTGGAAAGGAGAATCACCAGATAGAGAAGGACTAGACAAAAGTGTTTATGAGGCTTGACAAAAGGACACTACGATTTTATTGTGATCCCATCCTTGAACAACAAGAAAATGTGTCAAAGGAAAAAAAATCCAGAACTTGACGGAAAACAGAGAAGAACACTCATGGGAAGGGCAAGAGCAAGCTGAGCTCTTCTGAACTACCTACTTCATTATATGCCATAGCCAGGACTAAAAGAAACAAAACTAAAAAGCCACAGCAAACCATTAACACAAATCATAGTTTTGTTTGTATATTGCTACCATTTTTGATATGAAAAGAGCTAATAAAGAGACTAGATGTCAGACAAAACTGTAAGAAGAAAAGTGCATGAGGACTTTCTAGGTTGCCCCTTATTATTGTCCAGTTTTGCCCCCAAAATTAATAATATGTAATTACTTAGGAGGCATGCTTTCTAATTCTTCTGAAGAACAGAACTAGTATAATAACCAAATTATTAAAACCCCTCCATAGCACAACTGCTTGTGTACATGTTGGTCTCATTCAAACTTTGGAAAGAAAATACTGAAACGGATATATGTTTGAACATATAAACACATCAGTTTCAAACTATAACATATCACCTGAATGAGCTTCTTATTTTGCTGAGTTTCATGTTTATGTATGTCTATTTACATTGCTAAGCTGCCTGTATAATTAGTTGATTGAAAGCACACTTACACAAACAAATTAGGCATGCATGTGCTTTTGCAGACAAAGCATCTAAAAATTATCACAGCCGTTGCAGTCACAGTGAATCTGCTGCCAATGATGTTCAGATTCCAGCTGGGATAGTCTCATTCTTGCTATCCAAAATTTCAGACTGTATTTAAAAGGGAAATACATTCTTTCTGTTTGTAAACACAGAGCAGCTGCTCTCTGTCTCAGAGGATGACTGAATTTCAATGGGAGAAGGTGAGGGATTCCTACACGTCAAGTGTTTGTTACAGAGTGTGTAACTCTACACAATCTGTAGAAAAGCAGTGCTTTTCTCTACAAGATGATTATTCATACTCTGAGTTTTATCTTTCCTGCAGAATAAGCAAGGCAACCCTCCTGGCCCTGACAGTAATTTATTGAGGGTTCAGAAACCTCTCTGCATTACAGTGCATTTTTATTCCTGCAGTAATATGGTTATCTCTTCAGATTTCATAGACTGATAACATTTTCTACCGTACCATTAGAATGAAATGTAGAAGCTTCAGCTTCCCAGTTCTGCTGAGATAGTTGCATCCAGGCAATAAAATATGGAATTTATTATTATTGTTGCTATTATTATTCACTGCTGAACTAACATAAAGGTGGACAGTGCTTTATAAAACCACTGGTGCTGACTTCTTCTCAGCTGTATAGGCTTTTTATCTCTTTCAAGGGATTTAGGCAAGACGCCAAAACCAATAGCAGTGGTTTAATAACATTGGTGGCTATCACTACAGTGCTGTTCGGTGATCATTGTCAAATGAAGAGGGACATGCTTGTCTTTCTAGCCCAAGTCCCTTCTAAGGAAGCATTAAAGTGAGAATACTTTTTTTCCTTTCCTTTCTTCACTTATCATGAACACTTGCTTCACACTTATATACCTCACGGTGTTTAAGCCAGCATTTTGATCTCAATGCTCCTTAGTTAGACACATTGCTATGACATTTAGCTATATGTATATAACAAAACTTTCCACAAACAAACATTTTGTTTTGCATGAGAAAAAAACTCCATAGTATACATACACTATTAATTTCTTTTTTTCCTTGAATCCCATGTTTGTTGACAGAGTCTTGGCTTTTCCCAGCCACAGTCATTTTTATATTCCTATTCTTTTCAATTTCTTGGGTTTTCTTTTGGTTTTCTGTTTTTACTACACATGGACAATTTCTTTTACTTCTACAATAAATCCTGTGGTGATTTTTTTTAAACACAGTTACTCCAGCCCTGCTCACCTGATTTCTGTCTCTGGCATTTGCGTAGCGGAATCTCTGGATGTAGTAGAAGACCAGCCATGCCAAGGAGATGATCATCAGCACAATGAAGGAGATGGAGACAAACACCACCGAGGTCCGGCTGACGTACTTCTGCAGGTTGCGTGTCCCGATGGTTATGTACATCATCACAGTAATGTTCCTCTCCAGGAGGCTCACTATCTCTTTCCCTTTCGGTTCAGGGATCATTATTGCTACAACATCTTCTAAGCCTATCAGACAGAGAGAGAAAAGGAACCTGAAGTAAAACAAGTGATCACCAAAAGGCAATCATAGAATCACAGAGTACCCTGAGTTGGAAGGGACTCACAAAGATCACTGAAGTCCAACTCCTGGCCCTGCACAGGACATCCCAAGAATCCCACTAAGTGCCTGAGAACTTTGTCCAAATGCTTCTTGAACTCTGTCAGGCTTGGTTCTGTGACCACTTCCCTGGGGAACCTGTTCCAGTGCCCAACCACCCTTTGGATGAAAAATCTTTATTTAATATCCAACCTAAAGCTCTCCTGACACAACTGCATGCCATTTCTTTGGGTTCCATCGCTGCTCACTGGAGGGAAGAGATCAGTGCCTGCCACTCTGCTTCTCCTCCTGATGAAGTTATAACTGCAATGAGGTCTCCCCTCAGTCTCCTCCAGGCTGGACAAACCAAGTGACCTCAGCCACTCCTCATACAACTTCCCTTCAAGGCCTTCACCATCCTCATGGCCCTCCTTTGGACCCTCTCTAATGGCTTAATGCCTGTTTTATATTGTGGCCTTAATGCCTGTTTTATATTGTGGCACCCATAACTGCCCCCAGCACTCGAGGTGAGGCTGCCCCAGTGCAGAGCAGAGCAGGACAATCCCCTCCCTTGCCCACCTGGTGATGCTGTCCCTGATGCCCCCCAGGACAGGGTTGGCTCTCCTGGCTCCCAGGGCACTGCTGACTCACATTCAACTTTCCATAGACCAGAACCCTCTCCAGCTTCTAACTCCCCAGTCTGTACACCCAAGATTGCCCATTCTAGATGCAGAATTTGGCACTTGCCCTTCTTGAACTTCCTACAGTTGGTGTTTGCCCAGCCCTCTGATTTGTCCAGTTTGGCAAAACAGTAACAAGAAAGCTGTGCTTTCTTCTGCTCTTCTCTCCTGTTTACCAAGAGGGAAATCAGATGGACCTGGTGAAGGTTTCAACTGAAACCAGTTACACAGTGTGTTTCTACATATTAATCCTGGTGAGATACATAAAATGTGTTCCATGGGTTGACATAAACACAGATTTCTTAGCACTACTGAGGTTTATCTGGATGATACTGCTGCAAACACTGCAGAAAGAGAGGCACATGGCATCCAACACTCCATATACATTTATCACAGTCTGTTTTGCAGGGTCATGAGTCTGTCAGAGAAAGCCCTCCAAACTCTGCATTCAGATCAGAAACACTTTCAATCACAGATTCCCACATGGTTTCACAACCTGAATGTGCCAAAGCATCACTACTCTTGTACCAGGCTGGCAACCAAAGAGCAGCTCAACAGTTCCCAGTGGCTCCCCACAGCCCAAACCCATACAGAAATTTGGGACTTTTGCTGGGAGTTCAACTTTCCAACTGATACAAGTTTAAAGTCAAGAGCACTGTCTAATTCCACAAAAAATTGCCTCTGCAGCCCAGATCAGCCCCTGATACAGTGTGCAGCATGGCCCTACAAGGATGCAAGTCAGCACAGCTGAGGCAGCAAAATCCTACTAATGGGATGAAGCAGGGACTTCCTATAGTCCTGCCAAGCCTTCTGTCATGACCCTGTGAAGTGGCCCTTCCACTGATATAGCTATCCTCGACTCCACACCAGTTTTCCTTTCTGTACAGCACTATTTGATGTTACTTGCATCACACACTGCTGAAACTGTTTTCTTTTCTTTACAATTTTATGTTCCCTGTATACATGAAATATATGGTCTGAAATTATCTGGGATTCACCAGGTTGTTAAATGCCTTTTATGGCCTCACAAATAAACTAACACTGCTTTAGAGTTTAATATTAGGGATATTCTGTCCTTTCACTTCACGAAACAAGCACATAGACTATTTTTACACCTAAACTATGTTTTGCAATACCCAACTGTTCTAAGTAGCTAAGGACAGAGAGGGTGTATTATAATGTAAAAATGTGCTAGGAACAACAGCAAATGAATTTATAATGATCTGGCATTTAGAAAGGTACAAACTGGGGGTGTCTGAACTCAAAGAGCTATGCTGGGGTGGGGCCTCAGAATTTCAGATGAAATCCCAGGAAACTGGCTGACATGTTGCTAATCCCATGGCTATCTGTATTTTGACTGTGTCAGGAGGAGAATGCACTGCATTCATAGGGACATTCATGGAGATGGGAAGGGATCACTCGGCCACAACTGGAGGCACAGGAAGGTGACTTGCATTTTCAACAGCATCCCTCTCCCTCCAAGCTTGTATCCAATGTGAGTTTCAGCAGTGCAGCACTGTATCCTAGTCTACAAAGTCCAGCTCAGACATTTCTTCACTAAAAACTCCTAGGAGGTATAAATAGCATATAAAATTTATACCTCCTAGCATATAAATGCTAGGAAGTATAAACAACAGGTTTTCAAATGGATTTGGATGCTGAAGGCCATGAGGTGTTTGGCAGGACTTTGGATATATGCAGGGGAGTGGTGTTCAGCAGAAAACACTAATTGTGGTGGAAACTTTATAAAATTCTGCTTGGGTGCCTTGATCAACCGGACGTACTGAAATAGGTGTGGCAGACTGCTGCTACTCACAGAAATCTACTGTGAAGCTGGGAACAGAACCCCCCTCTCTCAAGTCTCAGAGCAGAAATGCAAAGACCACCCCTCTTCCTCTCATGATGCTTTCCATCATAACATTTCCCTGATTATGAACAGGTCAGTCAATGAATAGAGGGGATCAACAGCTTAGCTGTGTCAGGAATTCCACAATTGGAAACTCTTTTAAAAAGCATTATTGTTTTTCAGCTTTATTCAGTTATTCCCCTTTATTTTTATCTACCAAGAGTCCACCACCAGTAAGATAAATCTGGCTTTGCAACTCTTCTAATACATATTTATTACAAAAGGTTAATGCAACCATTACCCTATTGGACTAAGGAGAATTTGCCAAGTCTCAAAGTGGCTGAGAAGGGCACTGGTGCCATGCCAGTAATTTTCATGCAGTCCAAAAGAAAAATTGTCTGGAGCAGGGCTTAGCTGGCCACATGGCTTCCTTTGTTCTTTTCCTTGTCTTTTAAAAAAAATAAAAAAATTAAATTCATTCTACAGGAAAACAAAAGCACCAATCTCACGTATACCCAAAAAGAACCCACAGTGAAAAATTCCACAGCCAAAAGTACTGAATTTAATCAACTGCCCTCAAAAGCCACCACTCTGTCCAGCTGACTTATCCAGTACTGATCTTTAACATCGTCAGTACAACCTAGAACACTACATGGAAATCACATGAAAGCTTATAAAAATGGAGATCGAGACAAACCCATTTCCATAGGTAGTATCTTAACTATTTAATTATCTTGAATCTTGCATGTCTTAAAAAACTTTAACAATGTGTTTAATTATGTTCAATTAAGTTATAGTTTATTATGTTTAATATAACTTTAATATATTTCTGGACACAGGACACTAAGCAAATTGCCATGGATATATACTAAATAAAACTATTTTGGAATGCAAAGTAGAAGACACTGTTATTCCAAGAGGAATGCAGCTTCTTTTATTTATTCAAACTCTTAATATTTTAAAATTTAAGGCTACCTGGTTATTTTCTTGGAAAACATTACCACTTGTAATGAAGCATTGTTGGAAAAAATAATGAAAGCAGTAACAAATAATAATCAGTTGGTTTTTTAAAAAATGTTTTACTGAGTTTGTAATTCCTCCAAGACATTATAGAGAATGCTATTTATTTATCAATCATGTTATTAATCTCAAATTATATGAGATAATGTTCATTATTAGGAAGAGAATAAAAAAAAAGAAAGCAATTTATTTATCTTTTCTCTCTTTTTGAATGAAATATTTGTATTATCTCAGTTTCACATAAGCTCCAACATACATCAGAAGTATGCAAATTAAAGAAGGGAAATAATGTCATGAGACATCAGTGTTAGAGGTGCATTTTTATGCCCAAGTACACATTTGTTCAACAGATTCAAAAAAGGGAAAGGATCTAGTAATGTGTACTGATGCTTCCCTAGCAAGTTAAATGCTACCACTGCCTTTCATTAAACACACCCACAGTCGGAACTGTATTTTGTGGCATTCCTGTTCCCTAACATGTTTCCTTTCTTTTTCCGGCCAACATTAACGCAGAGTTTGACATGAATTTTTAAGCAGCTGTCAGGATGAATCAGAGATTCATAAATCAAAGGTATTCAGGCTGCAGTGAATGGATTTTCTTTTTCTTTTTCTTTTTCTTTTTCTTTTTCTTTTTCTTTTTCTTTTTCTTTTTCTTTTTCTTTTTTTTTTTTTTTTTGCCAAGGAAACATTTAATGTATCAGTGTTCTCTCCTAATGAGCAAATAACCAAACAAGTAAGGTAGAAATTACAGGCATTTGGGATTATTTAAGTAATTTTAACTTGCTGAAGTGTATCTGTATTATTATTTCTGGGTGGAGAAAATGCATGCTTTGGACAAAGATCCAGAAGACCCTCTCCTATAGAAATACATTTCAGCATGTATGGTTTCATGCAAAACCATCTATTCACTAGTGACAGAGGAAATCAAAAACTTCAGTGCACTAACAGTGACTTTTGTAGAAGAAATGAACAGGTTTTACATCCAGATGTACATAAATGCTACACCTTGGCTGCAAGCTGTGCTTACAAACATATGATATTGATTTCCAAGACATAAATGAAGATTTGTCTTATATTGTAGATCAAAATCAAGTAGTAAAGGGTTTAGTTCGACAGATTTTCCAAGTGAAAATCCAAACAATATTTTGAGTTTAGAAATTGCCCTGACAGTGTTCAATCTGGCTCAGAGCCCAGAAACAGAGACCTTACAGGAAGGTGCAAGAGCCTAAGCAACTCTTCCTTACTTCTTGAAGAAATTATTTTGTTTTTAGGAATCCATTTCAGTAACCAGTAGCTATTGTAAAGAAGCAAAACAGACAAATATAACCAATTCCATGTCCTACTCAGGCTCAGCCCACAGTCCGTGCCAGCCCCTGGCAGTGTC